TTATGGTGCCAACTGATGTTGGTCAGATAGTAGTAGTAGTATTTTGTCAAATGGAGACTGTTGGAGTATTCCATCAAACTACAACAATCTGGAGGACATTGCTTGTCCACTTAGTGTCACCAGTGGCTGCCTAACATTACTAGTAACACTGACCATATTACTTCAAATGTAGCAGTCAGGACAAGCATGGTCAATGGAATGTTAAAAGCACTGGAGTAACATGTTTTTCACCATTATTCTTTCCTCTCATCTCTGTTACTAGTAGTAATAGTACAATTCAGTTTACAGACAGACAATACTGTATTTCAAAACACTGTGTAGACTGTACCTCTATATAGCCACCTATATAATTTTCAATACATTTTTTTTCAAAAGAAAAAAATCACTTCAGCAGCAGTTCTGAAAATTATCACCTAGATATCCTAGTACTGATTCCTACATAGTATATGTCTGACCACCGCCTTCTTGCATCCAAACCACCATGGTAGTAACATTCCCTTCCAAAGGGGAAAATCCTAATCCTTGGTCTCCATTACACAAGCACTACTCCATCCAAGACACTGATATTATTAATTACTAACTTTTCCCCAGCTGCAGGCGGCTTGCCTCAGCTGGATCCATCCCCAGCACTTCCTCCAGCAGAAGTTTCATATCTTCTAGTACAACAACAAGAACAACAACAACAATCCAAGCTTCCAGCATTCATCCAAGACCTTTCCTTCCTTTGAAGAACAACACCTGCTGGAGTATAATGCTACATACTCAGTTTATAGGAGATTCCCCAGCCACAGCTCCTTGCACCAATTCCAGTAGTTATTCCAAACTGAAAGCTATGTCTTTCAGTCTTAATGTTGTTGTTTCCAACTTTGTGTTAGAAAGCAATAACAATCTACCAAGCTCCCAACATTAAAGCACTTCAACCAAGATGACGCTGAGAGGATCAGCATCATTCCTCTCCAGCAATAACCCCCACCAGCTGCTTGCACCACCAGTAGTTTAACAGACCAGAAGCTAATTTCTACTAGTCACACTTTTTTGCTTCTGACATTGGTGCTAGACAACAACAACACACACCCACACCCCATTCTGGTTCTTTTAGATATCCTGATACTTCCATTGGCACCTCTACTACCTCCACAAATTATCATCATCACAACTATTAACTAGTATATATGGACCCAAGTACATCAAGACTGAGTAAATGTGTTTGCTTCATGTTTTTCTCTTGGATTTTATTTTTTGATTTTTTTAAAATGGCTACCTCACCACCTGTGCCTTTGTACACTATGTGAGACCTTCCCTTAATTGGCTTGACAGTGTGCTTCTTCTTGGCACTGGTTTCCTTGGTCATTGCAGAAAGGCTTGCCTTTTTGGCATGGCAGTGCACTTTGAATTACCACGACATGGCTCTCATTCATCCAAACTGTGAACCAACTCATTCTTTGCCTTCTGTGTTTAGCCCCAAGCCTTAATTGGCTTGTCAGTATTCATAGAACCTGGTAGTCCCTCCACAAAACCTCCTTGGAGGGAGGCACCAGCGCCACTTGGAGCAGCAACCACTCCTAGGAGCATTATACAGTTAAATTTTCTGATAATACATTAAACCATGGATTTGAGGCCCTCTCTTTACTGTGTAATGACTCATGGGATTTAAAAATTCAAGCCAAAAATATGGTTGCTAGCAAGTGCAAGCAAAACTTAATTCAATACTGCTGAGCATGTGCATTAGTAAATATGCATTTGGTTTTTTCAGTCAAAGTACTAATTACACACAAAAATAGGGGCTCATACCTTTGCACATCAAACCTATACAGTAGTAATAAACTGAAAATGTCTGCTTCAATTCCCACTTATCTAGGTTCATAAAAATGCTGAAGAACAGTGCTTAAAACACCAAAAGTACCACCAGATTCAAGTACAATTCCACTCCACAATTCAGGCTCAGGTATCACTGGTTCCTGCCTATGCATACTATGATTGACACAACCTGACCCAAAATATGACAACAAGCAAGCTACCATAAAGTGTTTTGTATCAAATTTTACATAAAATTTTTGATGTTGTCATYCAAGGAGAGACAAATAACACAAAAACCATAAAAACAAGGATTTCAATCCCTACTTGGTTGCTCTTTCAGAAAGACTCCTCAGAGTGAAACACTGCTAYCCCTAGGAGCAGCTAGGACAGGCAGTCTTCTACCAGAAGTTCTGGTCCTGGCCACCATTAGTGCCTCTTCTAGTTCAATGCTATCAAAAATACATCATGTGCTACTGGTTGGAAGGTTGAAAAATATCAGACACTAGTAGTAGCACTACTATGCAACATTGAATTTTTGAAATGACAGGGACCAGCAGGAAAATGCATCTAGATTATTGCTGCTTTTGTTTTGACACTAAAAAACATGTGCTTTCATCTGATGGATTAAAGAAAAGAAAGAGAAATTTCAAGGGAAAACTGGTTATTACTGCAACAAGTACTACATACAAGAAGATCTTGAGGCAACTAGTAGTAGTACAAACAATAAAGTGCAAGCAGTTCATCTGTTTTCTATCAGGGATTGGTGGTGGTGCTGGAAAATCAAAAGTAATTCATTTAACTCAATCTGGTGGGAGGAGACTCCCTCTTGTGAACAATAGATTTGAATCTTTGGCAAAAATAGAACAAAATATTTCTTCAACTGAAAACAACAAACTACCACAGGTTTAAGTATGATGTATTCTGGGGGAGCTTTCTTGATGATCTAAGAAGAACAAATGACTTGAAAGAAGAGCATGTTCAAATTATCAAAGCAAGAATTGTAAAAGCTTAGGACAAACTCCCAGGAGATATTGCTTATGCAACAACATAAAGCAATGCAGACAAGTACTATGCAAGAAATGATGGCACATTTTTTCTGAGTTTCTCAAAATAATACATTAAAAAAATTATTGTATAACTTTGGCAATTCAAAAATAGCCAATTGAATGGTACATTTTTAATGCTTGGTATATGTTCACATGAATAATTAAAGAATCAATAACCCCCTATCATATAGAGTTGGCAAACCAATGTACGAACCAGTCATACATTTTGGGCCCCTATTTTTGTGTTTAATGACTACTTTGACTAAAAAACTAACTACATACAAATTGCACATGCTCAGTACTTGTACCGGTACTTGAATTCTTAATCCCACCAATCATGCGACCAAAATAGTTTCACTTGCACATACATGGTGTAGGCCTAGTACAAGTCAAATTTTTATCCCACAATGAGTCAGTACACGGTAATTAGATGGCCCAAAATTGATGCACAGTAGAATAACACATAKAACATTAAGAGAGGTTCAACTGATGCTAATTGCCATAACTTTGTCCCCAGCRGGCGATTAAGTATGATRGGCACATGAATCAATTCCCAGTAAAAAGAGCTTTCTAATGGTATGAGGGAGTTGGGGGGTCTTAGTACTAGTGGAACATATTGATATTCGTGTATGAATATCAGATTTAAAATGTACAAATGGTTTGGCCAGAATCACTCTACCAACGCCATGATATGCTGATAACCACCTGTATCACTGAATATATCTTTTTACTGGCTTTTCATTCATGTACCTATCATTCTTAAGTGTCCTTTGGGGACCAAGGTAGCTGTTACAGTGAGTTGAACCTTAGTTAACATTCTACATGTTTTTCTACTGTGCATCAATTTTGGCCTTTCTTTTTATTGTATAAAGACTACTTTGACTAACAAGCGATTTGCATGTGTTTGTCCATTGAGCACATGGCGTACACAAAAATATTTGGTTGCACAACTGGTGGGAATCAAATTTGAGCACATGCCTGGCTGTATACTGCAGTACAAGCCAGTTTTTTTAGTAAAAACAGTCATTGCACACAAAAATAAGGACCCAAAATCTACAACTGTATTGTGCATTTACAAGCTGTATCTATACAATATGACAAATTGCCAGATCACATTATTGTAATTAAGGC